TTTCTAATGCAACATATTCAAAAGTAAGTTCTTATCTTTATGTTTTGCTGTTTTCTTGTTTTCAACCGCCGTTGATTGTAACAAATTCAACCTCGAATTCAATGAGTGCCTTCAAATGTGATTGCATTTCCGCAAAGTGCAGTCTTTCGATCGAAGCACCGAGAATGTGTTGCACCTTTACGGCTTGTCTTCACTCGTTCGAGACTTATGAGTTAACGTATCATCTTTATTGCAATTTCTCACATTCGCGTAAGATTCTTCCCGCCATGGACAGTGTTGATAGCTTGCGTGTTTCAGGTCGGTGACTATAAATTCTGGTACGTGTCTGGATTTTCACATAATGACAGTTTGCGACCCGGAACGAGTTACTGCTAAAATATGGAAGGTTTCCATCAGAACAATCTGTGTACTATGCCCTTTCTTAACCATGTTTTTCAGAGGATTTCGGGATATCACTCCAACGTTCAATTTTACAATAATATGTATTTTTTGCTGAGGCTCACATCTGTGGTTCTTTGATTGCAAAGGAGACGGTACTCACAACTCTCCATCATGCTCATGTCTCCGACCACCTCAAATTAGCTGTTTTTGGTTCAATCTGAGAATTTCTTTAGCATTCCTAAGTTCGACGCTACTCTTTTTTCTTATCATCAGGGTCGCGCAATATTGCGATGTGAACATGATGTCTGCGGAAAACCTCGCCATAGTGCTCTCCCCGAGCTTGATGACTTCATCCTATTCCGATCCGATCAGTTGCATGGTCGGCACGCGGTCAGAACATGCGTTGGTTGAAAGGATGATCAAAGACTTCGACATTTTATTTCCTGCCACAGAAACACCGGTGAGGCGTGTCCCTGCAGCAGAAACTCGATCCCCAATAGACGACAGTAACAAACGAAATAGTTCTCTCACCCCGGTGCCTGTATCTCCGAATCCAAGTTCGTCTCAACTAAATTACGGGAAATGGAAGTTTCTACGCAATCGCCGTTCTATTGACACTCCGTTGTTAACTGCAGCAAGCGCAACTGCCTCGAGTAATACCCCAGCAAAGGAAAGCGTGACTACCCCGCCGCCAACCACCCCACTTTCAGCAACCGTTACTGTTCCCTTTTCAATGAATACCGCCCTCTGAAGCGCTGAATGTTCTCATTTTGTGCTCCTGATCGAGATTCTGCTCTAATCAGACAATCTTCCCCAGATGAATCGTTCGGTTATATCCTCTTCCGATTCCCCACTCGTTTAGTGTGTACCTGTTTATCTCACAGTCTATTTTTTTACTCAGTTCTCTGACCCTCATTTGAATGCCTTCTATACGCATAGACATTCGAACGACCTTCCAATCCCCTCTGAAAAAACCCACTGATAGTGCACTATTTACCCATGGGCTGATCCCGCACACCCCCGTTGTACTAAACGCAGTGACCTGCACAACACGAGGGAGGTGATCTAGAGAGTTGTGATGTCTTTCAGCTGAATATGCTCCGGTCACCCTGCTTCTTGTTATTTCGGCCTTTTTTGTTGTTCGGGTCACTATCTTTTCTCCGAATTCCGTTCTCACCCACTTGATCCCAGGGAGTTTTTTGACTATAAGCATGTGGTCAGATTTTGAATACCTCCGTGTAACCTGATACCTAAGTCTCCCTAAGATCCACGGAATTTCCAATAGCTGCCGAACCGTGTAACCCAACTACCTCTGCAATGAAACCAAGGCAACTGGATACTCTTTTATGCGAGACCTTTGTAGTTCGTGAACCTGCTTTGCTTGATATCTAACCGCTTCCAGTTATCGACTACTCCCGATATTCATCTTAACTGTCGCGTTTCAACCGCTTTTCTCCAGCTCAATATTTATTTCCGTTACCTTCTTTTTGATGCCAGCACATATATGCACATCTGTTTTATTCTCATCGCCCATGATGACTGAACCCTACTAAATCATCATCTATATTTCATCCTCTGTACAAAACCACAACCGTGCCAGCTGTAAAATTGTCTTTGCCACTCACTCAACTTCCCTTCTCCCACCCGTCGGACGTAAACAAGGAATAATCATTAACGTATACGATCGCTCCTTCGTTTTTCTCAAATGTTCGCATGATCCAAGAATAGGAAATATTCATCCATGCGGTTCATCACAACAATAATCGGTGATTATCTTTCATTTGCTGATTTCTTCACTACGAACTGCTGCTGCTTGTACAGCATTCATAATCGCTGCCCGGACTCCGCCCTCTTCCAAGGCATGGACAGCCGCAATCGTTGCGCCACCGGGTGAACATACGTCATTCTAAAACGAGAGGAAATATTCATTAGTTTTAGCTTACTCACCTATAATTCTATTAAAACAAAGTTCAATTACAAATCTGTACCCCTATGAGCAGAGAACTACCAGGATATCCGGCTACATAAAGTGTTCAGTAAAGGGCGAAATGTTTCACAGTAGCTGAGCTTACCTTTAGCTTAGACGGATTTTCGCCGGTCTTTTCCATCATTGCCGCTGCTCCGAACATTGTACTCACGGCCAACTTGTGCGCTAATGGACGAGGTACGCCCATGCGAACACCACCATCAGCCAACGCTTCGGCTATAAGAAACATCTGAGTATTATAATTGAAGAGGAGACGGACATCACGGGGTTATTTTCATTACGTTTCGCAGTACACGTTTCATTTAGAAATTACCTTTTGATCCACATATGTTCAATATTTTTAGCAGCTGTTGACAAAATATTGAAAATTGGTTCTCGTAGCTCGGGTGAACTGAATTCCATTTTGCCTGTTCGCCGAGCTTGGCAATTT